GGGCTCACAGAATACTGGGGAGTCTGGTCTGAAACGCAGGCGCCCGCCGGAGACCGCCCCCCGCCCCCGCCGCCCCCCAAGGAAGCGAACTGGGGAAGCCAAGGATTTTCATGGCGCAGGCCGCAGAGCTCGGAACGAAGACGGAAGGTGGCTACTTGGCGCTGGCAGTCTCTAACTCTCTGGGTCGCGACCATGCGCGCTGGTGTTGAGGATGCTGCGGCTGCTCCCTGGTCCACGGTGGAAGCTCTCTCCAAATTAGCCGTCCCCTATGGAAACTGGAGACCGGAATTTTAGGAAAAGAGATTAAAGCATCTCACCTGGGGGGGTGGGGGGTGTCTTTTTATTTTTTGTTTCTTTCTTTTCCCCTTTCTTTCCTTTTCTTTTTGAACACACCAAACTAAACCAAGCCAAGCCAAACAAAAACAAAAAAGCAAAACAAAACAAAAACACCACCGCCACCGCCACTGGAACAGTTTCTGCTCTCAAAAAAGGCAAGCCTCTTTCTCCCGAGTGATCTTTATAATTTACACTCTTGGCCGTGAGCTTTCTTACTCCCTGTTTTTATATCTCTCCATAGTCTCGACTCCACACACACGACCCATTCTCTTAGTAGTGGGGTTATTTTTATTTTTATTTATTTTGCTTTCTTACTCGCACCTCATACACACACACACACACTCACTCACTCACTCTCTCGGGAGAGAGAGCCAGAAGTCGGCGGGGTGTTTATATAATGAAGAATTATGGGGTTCTTTGATCGAGGCGTTCAAATGCTTTTAACCACCGTGGGTGCTTTCGCCGCCTTCAGCCTGATGACCATCGCGGTGGGGACCGACTATTGGCTCTACTCCAGAGGGGTTTGCAAGACTAGAGGTATCAGTGAGAATGAAACCAGCAAGAAGAACGAGGAAGTGATGACCCACTCGGGCTTATGGAGGACCTGCTGTCTAGAAGGTATTTGACTCCCCCTCCCCTCCCCTGCGCACTCCCCCTCCCCACCC